CCCACTTCACATGCACTGAAAGTTTCTAATATAAATGAAACTATCATGATATTCTTTCTGCTTTTTCTTTTGATCCAGTCCTAATTTACAGTGCACATACACACACACACACACACACAAATGTCACAGTTGCCAAATCTAATGAAACACTGAGGTGTACTGTGAAATTTCTGAACAAAGAACTACCTCCTGCTAATTGCCTTGATTATGAGACAAGCAGTGCTTGTTCATGAAGAAGACAATAAAATATGGCATTAATAGCCACCCATGAAAAATAGCAAGTGATTAATCTTTAACTCAGTGTGTGAACTGAAGTAAAGTTCAACCAGGTTGCAATTTATTAAAATTGCATCAAAGTGTGTTTTGTTTCAACATGTTAATTGCCTCCATTTGCAGTCAAATTCATTGGTTCTTCTCAGCTCTTTGTTGTCACATGGAGTACACAGTTGCAAAAATTATGGCACTGTGTACAGATTACAGGTAGTCCCTGGGTTAAGAACGCCTGGTTTAAGGATGACCCATAGTCAAGAACGGAGCCTACTGTAGCAAACTTTGAGTTAAATACACAATGGTTCAAGTTAATTACACAATACTACTTAAGCACGTATTATACAATAATACTGTTCTGGCTCATATACAAATTCGACTTACGGACTGGCCTTGGGAACAGAACTCATTCCTAAATTGGGGGCTCCCTGTACTGAACACTCTGGCTTTTTTTCAAGATGGTGTCATTATAAAGATGGTCTCATTATTAAGATGGCAGAAGATAATGTGAGGCTTTCTGAGCTTGGTGATAACTATGGTTGACTCTTTGCCCAATCCACTGCTCCTCTAAGAGGGATGTGTATATATGACAGTCAGTTCTTATACTGTATCTTCTCTTTCCAGGAAAACATATTTAGGGAACAGAATTTGTCTCAGCACAATACCTAAGAATATGCTTCTTAGTTTTTATTCTTGCTTCTTCCACTCATACCTTTTCTCTGGAATCTTGAGATGACAGATTGAGTAGTCCAATCTAACTCTCACAGAACAATCCTGTAAAGTAGCTTGGGAAAAGGGAAAAGGACCGGCTCCAAGCCACCCAGTTTGTTTGCATATCTGAATGTGGATTCGAAGTTAGATCTCTCTGATTTTACTCCAATATGTAATATGTATCTTTGTAGAACTTGGGTTCTACAAAGTTTCAGTTTGTTGGCCTCCTAAACCTTCACAACTCTGAAACCAGGAGAGGGCTACCTGGTACTCTAGATAACACATATTTGTCCAAGGTGATTTGATCATCTAGACTACTGGAATGCCCTCAGCAAGGATCTACCCTTGCAGACTAGAAAGTGTCTTGTCCAGAAAGTGCCACTGGTATAAAATCCACCAACAAGACTGCTGTCTAGCATAAACATAGTTGACCACCTTACAGTGGTTCTGCTTCATCTGCAATAGATTCCAGTTTTGCTCTGTGAACTTGTTTGAGATACTGATTCTCAGCTACCCAGTTCTAACCTTTGTATCATTCCATTAAACATTTGTATCTAACTGACTATAAACATTTTTCATCACTATGTTAAAGGTTGTTCAGATTCCACCACCAACACTATTCCTCAATCCCTCCACCAACAGAATAAAAATAAAAGAGAAGAAAATACATTTAGGAATAAGAGATAAGGTTCTTTTGGCGGTGGAAAGAACCATTCACTTAGATCCTTATTTGAAAACTAAAAAACATTGGGACACCCAGGAGAAACTGTCTTACTTCTTGCAGGGGATGAACTTTCATATCATTAGCAAGATTGTAATTTCCGTATCAAAGGCCATTTTGAAGAGGACAGACTACCTAGAACAGACTGGGGTCAAATGTAAGGGTGACAATTTATTATGAATATATATATTTTTAAATTCCCTCTCACCCCTATGGGAGGTATGTGTCTTCCTCAGTCTTGGGTCCTCTATCAGAGGCCTGGGAGCTTGAGGGTTCTGCACAGTATCTGAGCTGTTCCGAGCCCTGCACTCTTCTGGACAGAGAGCTTTGATGTTGTTCCTGGGATCTGTTGGAGCCCCTCTCCCAGCTTAGGAGTCACGGCCCCGAGTGCTCCTACCACCACTGGAACCCCTTTGGCCTTGACTTTCCACATCCTCTCTAGTTCCTCCTTCAGGCCCTGGTTCTCCTCTAGCTTCTCATGCTAATTCTTCCTGGTGTTGCTGTCACTTGGCACCACTACATCTATCGCCACCACTGTCTTCTGGTCCTTGTCTACTACCACAATGTCTGGTTGATTGGCCAGTACCTGCCTGTCTATCAATATATATATTTATATGTGTGTGTTTGTGTGTGTAACTAAAAACTTAAGAGTAAGAGTAAGCCTTTTGGGGGAACAGACTGTTCCTTCATATTTTTTTAAGGAAAAAGTTATGCAATTGCTTTCATGGGGCATTTCAAACATGAGAAGTCTGTTTGTCAGGTTTTCTCCATACTTCCCCTTGCATGAAAGCACTATCTTTAACCATCTGAAGGAAAGATAAACACACTTTATTTATTTGTTTTTAATCTCTTGGCATTATTGCTATGTGAACTGGCATTCTTCCCAAAGCGTGTGACAAAATTGTGACTGGATTCAGCAATATTGGTCATAATACACAGTTTTTTAAATCCTTTGTGAGCCCTAAATGAGTACGTACATAAAAACGTGGTAAAGTTCCATCAAGCAATCATCACAAGAGATGAATAACTACCACTTGTCACTATTTCATAGAGGATCACGTTTACTTACAATGACTTAAATCCATTTTCTAGTCTTGCAAGGAAACCTTTATGGTGAGCATAAAAGAGAGCATTATACTATAACGTTTATAAAGTGGGGCAAAATTTCACATAACTGCTCAGAAAGTTTTAAATCGCAGAGTTCGTGGCTTTTGAACTTCTATGGTCCGGAAAGTCAACAAGTCATAAAATGAAGATTGAGCACTGAACAAGCTAAAGAATGACTATTAAAAATAGGGAAGAGAAGCTAAGCGAAGAGAGGGGAAGAGACTTGACATAATCTGTCATCTTGACAGTAAATCTGCTTTTCTATCTGAAAATATTGTTAAAACAATGATAAGAACAAAAAAGAAGTAGAAAACAAGTCAGCTCAGTTGGTTTAAGGATGATCTTATTAATTCTGACTGAAGTTAAGTATAAAAGTATAAATTTGGATTGCTACCAAAACAAAAACCAAAAAACCCCGCTCTAAACAGCCTTGCTTAGAAGCTGACTTCATGTGCTTTAACAATGTGCAGAGAAGGGAACCTAACACACACGTTCCCTGTGTGTACTGCAGTTTTTCTCAATCTCAGCAACTCTAAGATGTATGGACTCCAACTCCCAGAATTCCCTAGCCAGCATGTCTGGCT